TCCTTCTCACTGCTGCAGACTCTATCTTTGATATTTTCTGAATAACAACAACAGCAAATATTTACACAGTGCTAAGTGCTGGGCACTGTTCTAAGTATCCTTCATTTAATTCTCATGTCTATTTTTGTATTTTATAAAAGTGGAAAATAAAAGCACAGAGTAACTTGCCCAAAGTCACCAAACTAGTGGCAAAGCTAGGATTCAAACCTAGGCAATGTATTTCTAGAGTCCAAGCTCTTAACCACTATACTCACTAAAATGATTTTTTCTCGGGGCGCCGGAGCCCCGCATCGGGCTCCCTGCTCGGCAGGAAGCCTGCTTCTCCCTCTCCCCCTGCTTGTGTTCCCTCTCTCGCCGTGTCTCTGTCTGTCAAATAAATAAATAAAATCTTAAAAAATAAATAAATAAAATGCTTTTTTCTCAGGAGAAATGCCCATCTTCAAGGTCCATCTCAAGTATTATCTGCCTTATGAAGCTTTCCCTAATTTATTCATCCTTTCCATAGATTGAATTATTCTTTCCCTTTTCTGAACTTGTTATACTTTCAATCAGTACTTCTTTTTTGACATTTATACTTATAGTATATATTGTAATTATTTGTGGCTTAAAAAGAAAAAATATCTGCATTTGACTAAAGTGCCTGTAAAGGCAGAATCCGTATTTCCTTTGTCTCTGTACCCTGAACAGTGCTCAGTACAAGAGTCTGCACATATAAAGGGGATGGCTGAATACATTTTTGTTCCTTTAACATCTGAAAAGTGGTATGGGGCAGAGGGGATAAACTTGTCTAGTGTGGGAAGAATTAGGAAAAATTCATGGGAAGCTAGATTTGGGGCTGATACAGGAAATTAACTGTCGAACATGGCTTCTCAGAAGTGTAGTAGGTTGCTTCCTGATAGTGTGTGTTGCCTGTCACAGAGGCTGTGTATGAAAAATACAAGTTAACAACCCGATGGCAGTGTTGTGAGGGCAATTGCCCATTTGTTGGGGCCTGAGATTCGATGAACTCTTCGATCCTTTCTAATTCGAAGATGTTCTGATCCTGCAAGGTGATATAATTATTTCTCCTACTGAATTCACATTGTTCTTGATGTTTTTAATGGTACACATATTATTCTATCATGTGATTTTTGTTTACATGTTCTAATACCTTTTTAGGTATTATAAAGTTAGGTTGTAAAGATTTGGGTGAAAATGAAATGAGAGTAGATGGAATCTGAGCCGGGAGACCTAGCATATTCAAACTATGGCTTGCCCCTTCTACTCTGTAAAAGGTCACTGAAAGAAATACATCCTAGGATGATGACTGGCAAGACCTAAATCTAATACTGACTCTAAAAAGTCAGTAAGTCAGTAAAGCCTAAATAGCTTTTTGTTTTGTTTTGTTGGTGCAAAATGGTGGTTTTATTAAAGCATGGGGGTAGGACCCGTGGGCAGAAAGAGCAGCTGCCCTAAATGGCTTTTTACCAAAGCATCTATTTTAGCCTCTCGTCATGTCCTATAGGCCACCTATCCTCATTCCCATTGCCCAGAATTTTGCATTTTTGCCACTGTGATTGAGGAAAGTCAAGTTTTATCATTAGATTCTAATGAATACTCTCCAGTGTCAGGGGAAATGGAACCCAAGTGAGAGTGTTTACTCTTGATACCTGTTGGCAGGTAGAGATAGCTAGGAGCAGCTCCTGGCTTTTATTGCACTTGCTAAGTAAAAGTAACGGAGAAGGAAGATCATGCCTATATATCTCATATTTTATTTTATTATCTTAATGGCTTTATTGAGGTAAAATCAACATATAATCAACTGATTTTAATATGTAAAATTTAATAAGTTCTGACATACATGTATATGTATCTGTGAAACCATCACCATACTCGATAGTAAACATATCCATGAACCAGAATTTTCTTCATATATACTTCTGTGTAATCCCTCCCTCTCATTACTCCTCACCCCTCATCCCAAAGCAGCCACTGATCTTGCTTTCTGTCACTGTAGATTAATTTGCATTTTCTAGGATTTTATAAAATGGAACCCTATAGTATGTATTCTCTCTTCTTGTCTGCCTGAGATTTATTTATTTTTGTGTGAATCAATAGGTCATTCCTTTATATTACTGAGTAGTAGTTCATTGTAAGGATATATCACAATTTATTGTTGATGGGTATTTGGGTTGTTTATAGTTTTTGGCTACTATAAATAAAGCTACTATGAACTGTGAACATTCATGTATAAATCTCTGTATGAACATTTGGTTTATCTTGAGTAAACACCTAGGAGTGGAATGACTGGATCATACACTAGGTATGTGTTTTACTTTTTTTTTTTTAAGTTTTTATTTAAATTCTGGTTAGTTACCATATATGTAATACAATTTAGTGATTCAACACTTCCATAAAACATCTGGTGCTCATGAGGATAAGTGCACTCCTTAATCCCCATCACCTATTTAACCCATTTCCCCCCACCCACCTCCCTTCTGATAACCATCAGTGTGTTCTCTATAGTTAAGAGTCTGTTTTTTGGTTTGCCTCTCTCTTTTTTCCCCCTATGATCATTTGTTTTGTTTCTTAAATCCTACATATGAGTGAAATCATATGGTATTTGTCTTTCTCTGACTTATTTCACTTAGCATAATACTCTCTAGCTCCAGCCACGTCATTGCAAATGGCAAGATCTAATTCTTTTTGATGGCCAAGTAATATTCCATTGTGTGTGTATGTATATACACACACACACACACATACATACATATACACACCATATATTCTTTATCCATTTATCAGTCAGTGGTCATTTGGGCTCTTTCCATAATTTGGCTTTTGAGTGGTCATACCGTTTTACATTCCCACTAGTGGTGTGTGAGAGTTCTCGTTCCTCCACATTTTCATCAGCACTTGGTATGGTCAGTCTTTAATTTTAGACATTCTAACAAGTGTGGAGTGGCATCTCCTTGTGGTTTTAATTTACATTTTCTTTTTTTTTAAATAAAGATTTTATTTATTTATTTGACAGAGAGACATAGCAAGAGCAGGAACACAAGCAGGGGGAGTGGGAGAGGGAGAAGCAGACTTCCTGCTGAGTAGGGAGCCCAA